GGGTCCCCACATGGGTGTTCAGGAAGGGGCTCGGGTTTACAGCCAGATGTTTGGAGACAGAGGCTTGGGGCTGATGGGAGACATAGCCTTTGATCCCTGTGTGTGCCACGCTCCACGGCCAACTTCCGTCACGGTGTCCTGGGGCTGCGATTCAGAGCGATCCTAGAGGACAGAGTAGGACTGTCCCACAAGGCCACCACCTCTTCAGAAGCAGACTGCTTCATCTTTCCATGGAACGGCTGGTGGGTTTGAACCACGGGCCTTCTGGTTTGCAGCTGAGTGCTTAACCATTGTGCCACCAGGGTTCCTTCTCTCCTGGGGCAGTTGAAACAATACTACCAGGTGGGTGACTTTGAAGGACAGAACGTTTCTGTCTCCCTTCTGGAGGCCAGAAGTCCGGAACCAGGGTATCGGCAGTGCTGTTCTCGGGAGCCTCTGGGGCATGACCCTTCCTCCTTTTCTACCTTCTGCTCACTGGGGGTCTCTTGGCCTTCCTTGCTTTGTAACCCTGTGTACAAACCATTGTACCCCATTCGTCTTTGGGTCTCTTCTGCCCTTGGATAAGGTACCACTCAGAGGGATTATGACCCTCCCCATGACCTTGTTAACTTCAGAGAAAACCCTTCTTTCCATACAAGGTCAAGTTCACAGGTGGAGAGGGGGAAGATTAGGGTGGCATATTTTGGGGGGAGCCATTTCAATGACAATGTCATTTCAGATGACACTTACCCAGACACTCCAACCTGTGCCTGGCAAAAGCCTGGTGGGTGTCGGGGACAGACAGGTGTCTCCCATAAGCTCAGGGCAGGGTGTGCTTCCCTGAGGCTGCCCTGGGTTGGTGGTGGGGGATGTCTAGGGAAGTGAAGGCCCTGCAGTGACAAGGTGGGAGACAGTGTCCTTGGGCCAGGGTTGGAGGCCTTGAAGAGAGTGGCCTCAGGAACAGGGCTCAGGACTGGGCTGGGGGCTCGGGGTGTGAGCAGCAGTGGGGGGCCGGCAGAGGAGGCCTTGCAGCCTGGTTGGGGCCCAGATGTGGGTGTCTCCTTGAACGGTGCGGCCGCAGAAGGCTGTGATGTGCTCACGCTTGTGACAGGACCCTGGTGGCTTCTGCGCTGAGAAGGAGCCACTATGGGGTGGAAACTACAGGGTGGGGTGAGGAGCCGGGAGGCCGGCCAGGACCCCAACTGTACAGACAACAAGAAGAGCCAGGTGCAGGGAGCCATCCGGTGGGCGGTTCTCGGGTGCCCTGGCTGGCTTGGGTGCGAGGCAGCTCCCTGCACCCAGGCCTGGGCTGGGGTGGCCTGTGGCCTTTCGGGGCCCAGTCTCCTTGTCTGGGAGTTTTGTGCCTCAGAGTCGATTCTGACTCAGGACGGCCTTGTGTAACAGTGGAACTGCCCCATACAGTTTGCTGGTCCGTAGTCTTCCCAGGAGCGGATCACCAGGTCTCTCCCTCTGGTGGGTTTGAACTGCTGACCCACTGCTTACCCGCTGTGCCTCAGGTCCCTTTCTTCCTGTCGGGAGGTTTGTACTGTCAGAGTGCACCAGGTGCAGCCGACCGCTTCCCGGGGAGTTTGGCACCATGCGGGCTTTTGGTCCCCCTCAGCTTGCCCTTGGGGCTCAGCGGCCTGAGTTCTGCCGTGCACCCAAGGCCCACTCTGTCCTGGCTCCAGACACAGCAGTGCTGGCGGCCTCTGAGTGTGGCTCCTGTGCCTACGGGACACCTCAGTCACCACCTGGGAGGGCTTTTCAGGGCCAAGGCCCAGTTGGGAGGGTGCTTGCAGTGGGAGTACTGACAGGTGATGGCAGAGCCGAGACGAGGTCCAGTCTCCGGCCTCTGTCCAGTCCCCACATCCGTGATGGGCCCTGGGCCCCTGTAGCCTCCACCTCAGGTCCCCAACAATAAGTCCAGCACGGGAGCAGCTGCCTCCCTGGGCTGTGGGCAGAGTGGCCGATGGCCAGAGCTGCACCCGCGTGCCTGCTGCCAGCTTCCCTCCTGCCTCTCGTCCCTGCCACCTGCGTCGTCTTGGGTGCCACCCGACGTCTGCTTCAGCCGTCACGACCCGG